GTACCGGCTGGGTCAAAGCACTTGCTTGTTTCACAGGCTCTGCCAAATTGTCATCTGGAAACGGGAGAACCACCTTTATATCCCCAATAATGTATGAGGTGCCTTTCTCCACACCCTGGATACCTTTTTAATTTTTGCCTAATGCCCCCCAATCCCGAAGAAAACCTGGTTGTTTTCATTTCCACTCTCCTAATCCAAGACAGCCCGAATCCCTGCCCCCACATTAACGCCCCGTTTCTCCGGGGCCTGCGGACACCCCCTCCCCCGCGGTGCTGACCCTGCCGCCCTGTCTGTCTGTCTGCACACCCTACAGAACCCTTCCCCCACCTTGTATTATCTTTTGTTGCACAGAGATACCAGCTCCGATAACGGCCGAATTCACCAGCCTTTATGATTTGGGCATTGGTCCAACCTAAATGGTCTACCTGAAAAATGTATTTTCCAATGTGATAAATTCTTGTATTTTCTTCTAGTACTTCACAGGTATTTTTGTTTTTGAGTTAATTCTTCAATCCAAATAAAACTCATTTTGAATATGGGGAAGTAGGATCTTTCTTTCCAAGTAAAGAGTAATTCATCCCTGTTCAATATATTAAAAAACCACTTCCCAACTGTTTCAAAAAACTGTATTATAGGTTAAATTCCTATATATAAAGGGATGTTACTGGATTCTACATTGTTCCATGTCCCAATTCATCTGTTTTTTTTTATTTTATTTTTTCAAATACTAATTCGTCTGTTCTTTGTTAAGAATTTTTATTTATTGATTTTACAGGAAGAAAGGGGAGAGAGAAGCATCAATCTGACGTCCCACTGGCTGACACAGTCACTGGGCGACTCTCGCTTGCGCCTCCACCGGCGATGAAACCTGCCACGCTGGCGCAGGGGACAGCGCTCTAACCGACCGGGCTCCCCCGCCAGGCCCCGCTGCTCTGTCCTTGCACTCACTGTCTATATTGCTGCGGTACTGCGGTGTGTTTTGATATTTGGTATAGCAAATCCTCCATCGCTATTTTTCCACTTGAAAATTTCTTGGCCGTTCTGGCACATTGAGTCCTATGACGACTTTTAGAAGCAACTTATCAAGTGTCCAAAAACAATCTGCACCGGGACCCCACTTGGAATTGCAGCTTAATTTGTAGAGAGCTGCAATCTTTACAGCGATGTCTCCCTGCCAGAGCATGTAATGTCTGTGCATTTAGATTAACTTTTAAATTCTTTAGGTAAAGATTTTTTTACTTTTCTTCATAAAGCTTTTGTACATTTATGTTTTGCTCTTAAATGTCTTCTAGTTTTATTGCTATTAATTACAAATTACTTGATCATTAGTGAGATTACACATCTTGCCAAATGCTTAATATACTTTTATCCAGTAAATTGTCCACATCCTGTAATCACTTGTGTGCATTTTCATAATTTTCCTCACTGATTTGTACATGTTCTTTACATGCTGAAGATATTAACTCTTCACTTGTATTTGTCACAAATATTGTCCTACTTTGTCGTTAGGCTTTTAACCTGGGGGGTAGTCTTCCATTTTCCTAAAGCAGTTTTCCACTTTTATGCTGCCTAACACAACGATTTACTAGTAGCAGATCTGAGTGCCCCACAGGTGCCAGGACCTGCACCTCCTTCCCTCACAACATTTTAAATGGTGGGTATTATGCTCCGTAAATAAGATTCCAGCTGAAGCCTGCCTGACCGCAAAGCCTCTACTCTCCTCAGCTCCCCAGAAAGAACCCCTTTCTCCATGTGTTTACTTACAATTTACTTATTTTATTTTCTTTACAGTTTTGGGGGGCATTTGTGGTGATTTATCATTTAGTACATCCCCACACAGCTTAGTTCTGGTGTGCTGAATAGGTCCCAGTGACCTGTATGGATACTCTAGAGCCAGGACATTATTTTAATGAACGTGCCTCCTAATGTTTAAGTATCAGACTGGGCTTATCCCACCTTGTTACTCCTAATTACCCTGTCCAGTTCTCTGTTTCACTCTCACAGCCAGGAACGGGGTCTGTCTTTCCATTTACGACAGTCTTTCCACTCTGTCAGGGCATTTCATGATCTCCTTCACGTAGATCCCACTTGTCTCAATAAGACTGGGCTTAATACATGTGTTATGATTTTGTTGCACTGTAATCAGAGCCTGTTTCTTATTTTCCACTTTAGTTTCTGCCAGGTTATTTTTGGTATTCAGAAAGCTATGAGTTTTATATATGCATAGTATACCCACTCACTTCCTCAATTTATTGGTCTGATTTTTAGTTACTCTCATTTTTGTAGCTAGTATCATCTACAAAATTTTCCCTTTCTTTGTTTTTGATCCTCACCTCGCTCTTATTGCATGTGTTACTGTCTGACAAAACTTAGAAAAACCATGTTAAATAACTGCCTAATTTTTAATTTGACTCATACTTTTAAGTATAGTGTGAACAATGAGTTTCACATTTATGTGTGTTTTCTGCATTTAAAAAGTACCTTTTCATTCCCCTTTTTAATAAAAATAAATGAGAACCTTTAAAAAAATAATAAAATACCCATTCTGACTTAGTTCCGTTAGTAGTCCAAATTCGGCGGGCACCCCAAGGGAAAGTCCACCTCTGGTCTGAACAGGCCTCTAGCCAGGCCTCTGAACTGGCCTGCTGAGTCTCCCCACTTCCACACTCCAGCCCACACCCCCACGCCCTGAGTTCTGCGTGTAGCAGCTGGAGCGGCTGTTTGAAAACGCAAATCTGATTAGGTCACTCCTCTGCGTAAAAAGCCCAGCCTAGTGCGGGTTTCCCTGCTCGCTCAGGATAAACGGCTTTAACCCTCCCTACCGGAGGCAGTGCGACCCACCCAGCCCTGAGCTGCCTCGCGGACCCCCTGCCCGCCCGCCCACCCAGCCCTTCCACAGCCACTCCTCCAGCTCCTGGAAGGGGCAGAGTATTGCCTCTCCAGGGCCTTCCCACACGCCATTGCCCAGCCTGGAAAATTATCCCCACTTCACTCTACACTAACGCCTACTCACCCTTCAGATCTCAGCTGAAATTGAATTTAAAAAAAATAAATAAATAGTCTTTCCTGGGCCCCCTCTACAATCTCAAATGTGGTCCTCTTTGTTACTCTTACGGCCTGTGCTACTTAACCTTCACAGCCGACACCGCCGTTTGATTGTACATGTTGTTTGTGTGACTGTGTTTCATTTCTGATGCCCTCCACCTCGCAGACTATAAACTCCAAGAAAACAGGGACAAGTTGATTTCGCTGGCCACACCACAAGCACTCATGTGTATCTGAATGAAAGAAAAAGACCTACAAAGCCCTAATTGCATCTCTTACATCTTAAAATGATATCTATCACACCATTCAATCAGTATTTAAATTGCTGCACTCTGACACTGCCAACAAATTCTGTAAGAACATATTCCACCTGAAGGACAGGAAAGCTAACCCAACTCTGCTGCCGCCACAGGAAAACACATACAAATTTATATCACTGGTAAATAAGTTTTGTTTAAGTATTACAATGAGTTGTTTCATGTTGTGTTCAATTTGCTGATACTTTATTCATAGTCAACTGGTCTAGATGCCTTATTTTTTATGACATGTGAAGCACTGGGAGAAATATGCTTTGTAGAATATTCTTTAAGAAGTCAACAATGTAATAACAGTACTTAAAAACAGTTAATTATAACAAAATGACATTAAAAAGCATCCAAAGGTGGCTACCTCTAGTACTCTGTACTACACACATCTGGTCAGGAAAGAAAATATAAGTTATATTGCCAATAAAAAATCGTTTTGGGTCATAAAGGCTAATAATGAAACCAATATTCATACACACATTTGTACTCTACAAAGCACTTTTACATGCTTCACAGCACTGAACTCAGAAGAGCAAACAGAGCAGGTATTATCAGCACTTATAGAAAATAAAACTGAAGTTTAGACTTTAGAGTGATCAAGCGTCCTGCCCAAGGTCACAGGCCTGAGAGCTAGTAGAGTCACAATGACACTGGCAGAAAGGCAGATGGCTGCCCTGGCCTGGGCGTCCTTAACCGAAGGGGACTTGCATCCGAAACGCCTGGTCCCTGTAATTAGTTGTCGTTTTGTGCTCCCTTCACTAAAACTGCATTTCACTGGAGAACCACCAACAAAAAAGCTGTTTTAAATATGAAGTTAAAACTTCAATCGCCACCAATCTAGGAAATGGTTAAGATAAACCACGGTCTACCTTAACTGCGGAAGATGAGGCAGCAGTTTTTCAGAATGAGTTAACCCATGCACTATATGCTGAACTTGGAACAGCACTCCAGCAGTTGTTCGAACAAAGGTAATGCCAGTACGTGCACACGCGAAAGTATTTTCCAAGATCTAGAATGATACACGTCAAATGCATAACAGTTGCTCTCTCTGGTTGGTCATCGTGGTGATGTCTGAATGCTTACAAAGAAAATGTACTATTTTACTTATCTAAAATTAATTTAAAAAATTTAAATTAACCCGTGGGTGGAACAAGGTCATTTTTCTGCTCTAAAAGGCTATGCATCTGCAAAGGAAGTGGGGGCCCCGTCTATAAAAGACAATATAGAAACAAAAACAATAAACTGTCTAAAGATCACAAAACGTTTCTTTAAGAAAAAAAAAAAGCAATAGCTTAAATTTCTTTTTTCTTTGTAGTAGCTACTTAGTTTCCTTTGTTGCGACAAGACAGCCAACAAGCCAACCAGCAACTGGAAGCGTTCGGAGCAGGCAGGCGCCTGCGAGAGATCCAGTTGCTCGAGTTCCGCACGGGAGGCTGCACAAAGGAGCCGAGTTTCAGGGACGCGCGAGGTGACTTGGCAGACAGATGCGGGGAGACTGACCCGGGTGGGGCAATGTCTGGGAGGCGGACACAGTGAGTTAAGGAAAAGCGGGGGGCAGGGAGAGAACTGAAGTCGGGTCCCAAACGAGGGGAGGGTTCCTTCGGGTGTGGGAGCCGAGAGGGGGCTCGCCCGCGCTGCCCTCCGGGTTACCTGGCTAAGAATCGGCCCGGGCGGTGGTCAAACAATGGAGGCGTCCAGCGGCGGCTGCGTTCCGCGCCGGGGGCGCCAGGGGCCCCTCATCACCTGCGCAGGATGCTCGTCGGGCTCCGCGGGGACGCCGGGCGCCCTGAAAAACACACCAGCCCACCATGCAGCGAGGCTTCGCCGCTGCACCGCCCGGCTGCCTGCTCCCACGGCGCGGCCATTACCGCCTCTCCGGGGACCCGCCTGGAAAGGCTCCAAGGCACGGCTTCACGGGCTTCTGAAGCTGTTTTGCTCCCCCTTCCCTCGGCTGCAACAACAATGGAGCCCGGCTCGGGAGTCCGGCTCCCGCGGGGCCTCGCCCGGCCTCGCCCCTGCCGCTGCCCTGCCTGCGCCGCGGACCCGGCCGCCATCTGTGAACCGCGCTCCCCGCAGCCGGCACTGCGGGCCCACGCCGGCTCGCGGAGGCCCGAGACCCGGCTGCCCTCCGCGGGGCCTGCCCAGGGGCCGCCAGGCCGCACGGAGCGGCTCCGACCTTCCCCACCGACGCCCAGGGGCCGGCCCCGGCCCGAGGCCCATCTTAAGTGATGGGTTGTTTTTCTTTTCTTTAATCCACTCATCCTCCTTCCCACCCCGAGCCCGCTCCCCTTGCCCCCCTCCCGGCACCCCGCCTCGGTTCAGAAAAGAAATAAAGAGGCTGCAGCCCGGCCGCCCGAGAACTCACTCCAAGTGAGGGGTTGAAGCGCCCCAGGCCGCGGGCTCCGCGCACCCACCCTCCCTCTCCTCTAGGGACACCTCACAGGTGCGCCTCCGAGCCGCGCGCGCGCGCGCTCCGCACACCCAGACGCCTCCGGGGGACAGCGCGCGTGCGCACGCATGAGGCCGGCAGCCCCGAGGGAGCGGGAGCTGCACGCATGCGCGCCGCCCGGCCGGCGCCCCGGCCCCTCCGCCTCTGTCCCGCCCCTCGGCCGCTCGCGCGCGCCCTCCCCCCAATCCCAGGCTGGTCCCGGGTACCCACCCTTCACTCCGTCCGCGCGCGACCTGCGCGCGCGCTCCCGCTCGCCGGCCTCGCTCCTCCTTCCCCCTCCCCGCCCGGGACCGCGTTACCCAGGGCAACCGCAGTGCGGCCGCACCTGAGCTGTGCGCCTGCGTCCCACCCGCCAAACCCTCCCTCCCCGCGGTGCGGTCCTGGGCTCCGCCACAGCAGCGGGAGGGGGGCGTCGCCCCCTCCGCGCCAAGTGAGTATCGATCGGCCTCTCCCGCCCCATCCCGCAGACACAGACCCGCCGCCGCGCCGGCGCCTCGGCCGCCCGCCCCGTCAGCGCGTCGAGGCCTCGCCGCCCAGGCCCCCGCTCCCGGCGTGCACCGCGGCGAGCGCTCGGGTGGGAGCCGACGAGATGCGCTCCGCGGGCGGCGCCCACTGACCTCGCTCGGCGGCCGGGCCGGGCAGGGCCGGAGCCGTGAGCCAGCCCCGCCCGCCGCTCGCCGCCCCGCCCATGGGCCGCCGGCCCTCGCTGCCGCCCGCCCGGAGGACCGCGCCGAGGTGGGAGCCGCCTGAAGGACCGCGACGGCCGCGCCCGCAGGTGAGGCGGGGCCCGAGGTGTGACCGAGTCCACTGCGCTCACCTGACGGTACCTGCGGGGAGGCTCTGCGGGCGGCGGGAGCACCTGTCCGGACAGGCATTCACGGAGATTGTTTGTTAAGCCCTCGCTGCAGCGGGCGGGGGTCCCTCGCCCCAACCCCTAGACTCCGAGGGTGGAGAAGGGTGTCCCCCAGCGGAAACAACTCGGGGGGCCAACGAAGTGCTGGGAAGGAGGGCAAAAGAAAAGTGAGGCCCCGCGCCCCCCGCCTGCAGGGTCTGGCAGCCGGTTACGCGGCGGGGGGATGCCCTTGCCAGGGCTGCGGTCCAGGCTGCGGACCGTGCGCGCCGCGCGCCCGAGCCAATCGGACGGGACAGGGGAGGCCGGCCCAGGACTGCCCTGCCAGGCCGGGGTGGGATGGTAGGGCGAGGGATCCGCATTGCAGGGGCCCCGGGAGCGCCGAGGGCCCGGCCCTGCTTTGTCTGGCGCGCTGTGGGGAGGAGGCCGTCTGAATCCACACCGCCCTTTCAGGTGCGTTTCCCACCCCGGGGACCTTAGAGACCTTCCCTGGTAAGTTGCAGTGCCTGCCGACCCGCCAGCCCGGCACGTAAGTACTCTGCCTTGCGGCCCTTCCCCGCAGGCTTTGGTGGGGCTTTAGTTTATCCGAAACAACGCCTTGTTTGTGATTCGCGAAACCGCGCACGGTGCGAGCGGGCAGTGGCGCCCCCGGCGCGCCCCGAGCCGCCGGGGGCCGCAGGGAGCTGCCGCCCTGGGTTGCCGGACTGACGCCTCCGGGCCGCCCCTTAGCAGTGTGGTCTGTTCCCAAAGATGAAGACGAGGGGCTGGAGTTTAAGCTGTGGTCGTCGGTCTCGTAACGACACACGAGCGGCCAGGCTGTGATACTTGAATTTCGTTACGCATTTCCGGAAACCTACCTGTAAGAGTGTTAAAGCTAGGATTGCCGGGTTTTAAGACTTTTAAGTTCAACTTTTATTTAAAGAGCATTGGTATTACTTTATTGTGAGTTTGTGTGTGTGTGTGTGTTTTGTTTGTTTGTTTGTTTTGCACAGTCAGGAATTGGCCTGTATTTTCTTGCCGTTGAATTGTAAGGAAAAAGATGCTAACATTTAAAGTGATTTTTACCTCCCAAGATGTTTTTAATGTATGTATTTCTTTTGGCTAATGTTCATCTTATGTGAAATATTTTTGACAGACGGTTTTAAGGTTTGTGACGGGTATATACATGTGTTTAGATACGTGTGTTTATATATACATACACACCACGGAAAAACCTTAAAAGTTTTTATGATTCCTCTTCATTACGTTATAATTACTCAGTAAACTTAGTTCAGTTACATTTAAAATCTAAACTGTAGAACAATGATCTGTATCAGGTTTTTACTGTAGCACGTGTAAATATATCAATCCAATAAACAAGTTTCTTGGAAATTAGATATTTTTATTGTTAATTCTTTTAAAAAAACAAATTCTTTTGCTTACAATAGAAAATCATTTGGGTTCTTAACTCCATTGGTTATTTGTTGGTTAAACTCATTTTATCTTCACTACTTGGTGGAGTGCATTTGCAACGATACTGATGTTAACAACAGGGTTCATGCTTTTAAGAAATACATTTCTATCCTAAAGCATTCTCTCATATCTGGAACAAGGTCAACCGTTAACCGTTCCTAATACATAGTGGGCACCCATGTTTTTTAGCTGAGTAAGACGTGATTAGCGTCCACTGAACTGAGCGCTTTAAGAGGCAGCCACCGTGCGCCTGTGAGCGCCTGGCACACCGAGGGTGCGGGAAGGGCTTGGCTCAGACCGGCCTCCGGACTCGTTAGGCAGGTGCTGGTCATGACACCAGTTTTCACATCTACAGCTTTGATGTGAAAACCCGCAGGAGGTGTGAGCAGAGAAGTGAATGTGTCCTATTGTCTGCAAGGAGTTAGGGTCTGTCCTGCAGCAAAGGGATTCTCCGTATTTACAGTAATTTATAAGCAGAGAAGAGGATGAGTGGTACTTAGAGGAAGACAGACTTCACTTTGACGTGCAAGCAGAAGTTGCCCATGAAGAGAACGTCCAGCCGTGGGAAGAAGGGGCTGTTCTTTCCCTGCAGTTGCTGGGCGAGCGGGTCCCTGCTGGGCAGGAGGAGCACCTCGGGGCATCGCCCTGCCGTGGGAGAGGCCTCCGAGGGGGCGCCTGGGAGTCCTGCTGGAGCGGACTGGGGCGCAATGTGGGTCTTTTTGTTCCTTGTGCTGGCTTCCAGGGTTGTGGGCACACGCCTCCCAGAGCCTGGGGAGGTTTTCCCTGGGGGAGAGGCCAGCCTGGGATCAGAGAGGGTCCTAACCCCACTTTGCATGTGAATGGGGCTTACAAGTAATAAAGTGCTTTCACATTCAGTGTTTGGCTTAAGAAGACTTTAATTACATGCGATTTGTATTTCTTCCTGTGGCTTTTGTTTTCTATAATAAACATTGAATCAAGAGGAAAATGACCGACCCTTCTGCTAAAGAAGACAGAGGAGTCTTCTCTAAAGCTTTTCTAAAAAATGGAATGTCAGTCTTTCCTTTGAGAGCCAGCAGGTTGTGAAAGTGAATATATTGTTTTCTTAGCTGAAATTATTTTTAAAAAGATACTGATTAGGGGCTGATTCTTGTGCTTGCCCTGCATTTTAGTTTCTGTTTATTTCATTCCTCAAACGGGACTCAAATTTCACAGCAAAGAGACCAGTCACATCCACCTGCAGTGAGTTGCAGTGGGCTCTTTCCAGTGTGCCCGAGTGAAGCTTACATTTATGTTGGCGGCTGAAGGTAAAGCAAAGCCGGGGCGAAGGAGAATCCCAGTGTACCGGGAAGACTAGAGAATGGGGCTCTGTGTTTGAAGAAGAAAAAGGTGTGTCCTGTTTGTACTAAGCCAATCCTGGGAATGATAATTTATCAGCAGTAGGAAGGGGGAACTGTTGATCGGTCGGTCGGTCATCACAAAGGTGAGGCTGTGGCCCCTCACAGTCCCCGTACTAAGCAGGGGCGAGGCCGGTAGGAGCACTGGGGCCGGAGCCACCAGAGCTCACAGTGAGTATCCTCTGCACACGATCTAAGTGGGGCAGCTGCTCCGATTTGGGAAGAAGTTTAAAAAATTTTTTGGAATTAATGTACTTACTTTTTTAGAAACCCTTTTAAGAATAGTTCCTCTCCCTTTAGCAGGTGGGTTTGTCTCGTGCTTTTGTGCCTGTTGCCCACCAGGTGAATTTGGGTGTGATGATGTCAATTAGACAGACTCTCCAACCTAGTTTGAACAAGAAATACATTATTATTTATACTTTATGCATAAAGGGAAAAGATAAGAGTATCAACTTCTGGCCAAAAAAAGAAAAGAAAACCTTCAAAATATTTATTTATTCCTTCAGAATATAAATTCCTTACATACCGGCCTGCTAGTATGACTACTATGACCAGGACAGCCGATTTTCAAGTAAGGTGGCCAGTTAGTAGGCAAGCTTTTTAGAGGTGGAAGGTTGCACCCCCCCCCCCCACCCACTTCCCACGGTCTCGGGAGGCACCCCAGGGGCCTGGAAGGGTATCTTGTCCGTCGGAAAACAGGAGTCAGTGTTTCGGTGCAGGTCTCCACACTGGGGAGCAGGCTGAGCGATGCTTCTGGGTTACTCCCGGCCCAGCACCTCGTCAGGAGTCACCTCCTGGCGTGCCTGCTCTTCTGGAGCTGCAAGGGAAGAAGGAACGAGTGTCCTCCTTCCCCCCACGCTCCCTCCGTGAGCCGGATTCCTGGTACTGAGCAGTGCATTTCCACTGGTGAGCACAGAAGAGCGAGCCTGGGGGGAGACCAAAAAGGCAGAAGAGCACTCTCAAAACGGAATTTGAGGCAGGTAAATGATAACTCTGCAGCTGCAGTTCTTCTCTTTGTCGCCTCCTTGGTAACCCTTGAGAGGTGGGGTTTACGCCTGCAGAAGGCACACTGCCCTTAGCTCTGGAGATCTCCTGCCTGGCCCATCCCCAGGCGCCCCGGCCTTCTTACCTCCTGCACAGGGAAGGGGTTCAGGGAGTGCTCTTTAGGCCCCGTTCCTTAGGCTGCACGGCGTGCGCACCGCTGCTGCGTGAATTGCAACGCCCAGTATTGTAACAACGATGCTTTCCTCAAAGTCCCTTGTCTCCCCCACGAACGGGTGCCATCAGGGCCTGCAAGGGCTGTCTCGGGTGTAACGTGGGTGGTAAGTAAAGGAAGGCAGGCTGCTTGTTTGTCGCGTCTGTGTTCCCACAGTGTAGCAGGGGTTTAAGGAAGGGGCCAACCTTTGTCTTTGATACCGGATCATCTTTATCTTCTGGTTCAGTCCTGGTGACCAGACCGGAAAGCTGTGGGGGACAGAAGAGCGGCTCTCACTGACATGCCTGACGGCACGGCGTCTGGGGAGGGGGAGCCAGGCTGGGGGACAGGGAGCGGGTCGTGGTCGCCCTGGGCCCTGCGCAGCATGATGGTTGTAAGTGGGGGTTCATCCTGTCAGGAAGGCGGGAGCGTCCGCGTTTGGCTGACAGAGGCTGTCCGTCTCGGAAGCGTGTGGTGCTCGGACCTGGTTCAGAGATGAGCAAAGCCAGGCTCTCTGGTTTGAGGGCAAAGGGCAGGTTTGTTTTGTTTTTTTAGGGGGAGATGAGGTAAAGGTACAAGCCAGCATAAAGAAAACCGGGGCGAGACCTCCTGAGCAGCAGCTGGGCGGAGTGCTGCTGGAGGTGCCCGCGTGGCTCGCCCTCGGCCGTGCAGGGGGGCGCGGAGCAGTGCTGGACGGTCGCTAATGCCCAGGCGCCGCCCTGCGTCCTGCCCCCACCCCCAGCCCCGCCGGCTGTGGGGCGAGGAGGGTGCTGTTCTGAGGAGGCTCTGCGGCCACCAGGGCCTCGCTGTGCAGGCTGCCACCAGGAGCCCGACACTCGAGTGGGAAGCCGAGCACCCACCCCTGGGCCTTAGAGGGAAGTCAGCAGCTGTTACCGGGGCAGGGCTGGCGTCTTCCTGCCCGGGCTGCTGGGAGTCCGGGGTGCACGGACGTTAGCAGGCCACCGAGCCATCAAGTCCCCCCAGAAGGGGGCGGGGCTGCGGTGCACCCGAAAGTGAACCCGGCGCCCCGGCGTCCGGCACCGTCTGTCGTTGCCCCAGGGACAGGACACAGGCTCGTCCGTCCGGCGCAGTTGTGCCCTGCCACTGGGGGAGCGACCGGGAGTCTCACAGGCCTGCTCTGTGCCAGAAGGGTTGGGGCCCAGCCCCCGCCTGCCCGGCATTCACACGCCTCCGGGGGAGGAGGGCAGGTGAAGGAGAAGGAGCCTCGGGGGCGGCCGGCGGCGGGCGCACCTTCCCGGGTCCCTCCCCCAGCCCCGCGCTGCGCAGACCGCGCGGGGACGCAGCCGTACATCGCTGCCTTTGCGCCCCCATGGCCGAGTCTCAACTTCCCGAATACAGTCGGCACAGAGAGGCCTCAGCGCGCGCTGTGCGCTTCAGGGCGTTTGCCGGCTTGCTCTTTCCCCTCTAGGTGCATATTTAAAAGGAGCTGGTGGCCCAGCCTATTGCAATAGGCCTTGTAAACTTCAAAATATTTTAAAAAATCGA